ATTAAAATTAATAAAATTTAATAAAAAAAAGAATTAAATATAACTGAGAAAAACAGTTTCAAAGAGGTAAATACTAATGCAGGAAAGATGCCTTTTCTTTCCTGGTCAAGTACTTTACATGACTAAAGAGAGAAAATAGAATTCTAGGACAAAGCTACCAGTTTTGCAAGCTGTTTTGCAGTTTGGATGCAACTGATATCAGTTTTACAACTATACCACAGGTCTGAATAATCCTGAATCTATTAATACCACCCACATTATGGAGCTCTGGTGGCCTAGTGGCAAGAAGCTGTGCTGCAATCGAGAAGGCACGCAGTTCGAGGCCACCAGCTGCTCCACAGGAGAATGAACCATCTCCTCCTGAGCAATTAACTGTCTCTGAAAACTCACTGGAGGGTCAGCTGTGGGTTGGTTCCAACTCTATGGTAAACAACAGCAACTCAAGGAAATGACACAATGTTGCTTGCTGAAACTGAAGAAGACCTGAAACACTTGCTTCAGAGAAGGTTCAAGTCTACAGTCTTCAATATGGACTGAAGCTCAACATCAAGGAGACAAAGATTCTCATCACTGGACCAATTGGCAGCACCATGATAGATGGAGAAGAGATTGAGGTTGTTAACAATTACAGCATATTCCGCTCGACAATCAACATCCTTGGCACCAGCAATCAGGAAATCAAAAGACAAATTACATTGGGAAAATTAGCTGTCAGGGACCTCTCCATAGAGATGAAATACCATAATGTCAGTCTAGAGACTAAGGTATGCCTGATCCAAGCCATGGTCTTTACAATTACTTGCTATGCATCAGAAAGCTGCACAATGACTAAGGATGACAGAAGAATTGACGCCTTCAAGTTGTGTTGCTAGAGAAGAGTCTTAACAATACTATGGACCACCAAGAAAATAAATAGGTATATCTTAGAAATGGTGAAATCAAGTTTCTCCCTAGAGGCTTGGATTTTGAGGGTCCATCTCACATACTTTGGGCATATGGCCAGGAGGGACTGATCCTTGGAGAAGGACATCATGCTCAGAAGGGTGGAGGGACAACGCAGGAGAGGAAGACCCTGGATGAGATGGATACAATAACTGGGGCAATAGGGTGTTGGAATCAGTGAGAGTGGCTCAAGACAAGGCAGATTTCAGAGCTGTTTTATGAGTCACAGGCGACTCGATGGAAGTTAACAACAACAACAACAACAACAACAACAACTATCAGGTGGATCGAGCTGACTGGGAATTACCATCACCACAATTCGGAGTGGAATTATATATGCAGTGAGGAGATCTGCACTGCCAGCAGTTATGGACATTCTAGCCCCACCCACTGGGAATCTGGTCATCATCAAAATAAGTCCAGCAATGTCCACTAGAAGTTAAGCCCCAGTTTGATGGAAAATATCTCTTGATCTTCTGTCTCTGTATCCTTAGCTCATCTCCTAAGGTGACTGTAGGTTAAGTTAACCTTAGTATCCTGAAGGGCATTCCCTGTTGAAGCTGTGCTGTGGAAATGCTAACCCCAATAAGGCAGGAAGCAAAATTTTGCTCAACATATATTCCTCCTTTCAAGCAAAAATCACCCAGGTGCATTCAGATAGTCTCATTTTAATCCCGAGTGTTCAACCGGAGACAGACAATCCACTTTAACTGCAGTTCTTCAGGAGCTTTCTTAACTCCATGTTTGAGAGCAGTGGGAGTAGTCAGCAGAACTTCTCAGGGGCCAGTCCACTTCTTTAGCTAGGTGAGAGCTCCATTTTTTTGAAGGAGTTATCTCAAAGCTAGAAGGGTGTAGGTTACCTGTAGAGGAGGAAACAGACCTGGGCAGAGCACATTTTTAGGTACTGAAAGGGCTTGGTGAAGGTGCTGCTCATATTTGTGCACATTCACATCATGAGTGAGGTCGGGAAGAATGCTAAATAAGGGAAGTCACCTGGAAAGGTGTCCTGAACACAAGTTTATATGGGCTCAATAAGAGGTTGTAGGGCAGCACCTGACCCTGATGGGAAAGTGTCTCCTGAAAGAGCTTCTCTGAGGTAGAGTTGACTTTCTTTACCTTTCTTGATGACTTACATCTCCAAGGGTCTACATTCCATTTGCAGATGTTTGCTGGCCTGCTGAGGAACCTTGGCTATTAAGTTACTCAACTGCCACTTTGAATGCTTTTTGGAAGTCCAAGTCTGTGGTGATTTCTCTTAGAAGGATTTTCTATACCTCTGAGCCTGCTCCATTCTGGTGGCTTTGACCCAGTCAGAAAACTTACCCACAAAAACCAATAAGTATTTGAATCCTTGATGAGGAAGCATCTGAGGGGTGAAGTCAATCTGCCTTCAGAAGGTGAGTCACCCTGAAACTGATGGAGCCCAGCCTTCTGTCTCATTTGTTTTGGGATTGTTTTTAGGTGGGTCAACCACAGCAGGTGCCCTAGATGACTTTTTACTAGCACTTTGCCTCTGAGCCAGGGTTTAACAAACTCAGCCTGTGCTTCTTGCCCACAGTGTCATCTCATAGATGTGTTTAAAGAGCACAGGGGCTCATTTCCTTGGAACTAGAGCCTCCTTCTCCATTCACTTTTCATCTTTAAACTTCTTTCTCAAATCCTTTCACTTCGGTCCAACTCACACCCTTTTACTGAAGCCAGTACTCAGTCAAGTCCATTGTTGTTATGGACTGTTTCATCAGCACTGACTCATAGCTGACCCTCAAGCAGGTTTTCAAGGCAGTAAACCACACACGAGGAGACTGTATCCTTCTTCCATGGAGTGGCTGGTGGATTTGAACTGGATGCCTTTGAATAGTTGGTGCATCTCCTTACCCCGGGGCCACCAGAGTTCCTTCAGTCAAATCTACATGGGGACTAAGAAGGCTACTAACTGCCTTTTTCCAAACTTACCGATTAGCCAACAGTTCCAACAGAAATGTCATCTCCCCCTATTCAAATACCCAGGGAAGTGCATTCCTGCCACCTCCCAGGGGGAACTAAACAACACCCAACAACCAGAGTATTTCTTGGGCATTTTTAATGCCATTACTGTCAGTTACTAAAAGCCCCCTCCTTCCCATAGAGCTCCATGCGTACGTAGGGTGAGATGAAAAAACCTAGAGTCTATGAATCTGTTCTCAGTATTTCCTTCTGACAATTCTAGAGCTCTGGTTAGTGCAATCAGCTTGACTTTTTGAGCAGAGGTTTCTAGTGAGGGAGCTATTACCTTCATCAGCCACATGCCCTGCTCTCCAAGTCCCTCTCTCCACATAACTGCTCCCATGCACGAATAGAGTCGAGTCCACCAGGCACAACAGTGGGTCAAACAGATCAGGTTTACGTAGACCGGAAAACACTTGATCACTTCTGTGCAGTCGTGGTTCAGACCCTCCCTCAGCCACATCACAAAGATGAGTGATTGAATTTAGCATTACCACAACTTTCAGGGTAACATGGGGATTTTCTAGCAGGATGATTTTCCACCCTTTCTGCTGTGAGCCACAGACTTCCTTTCTGTTGTAGGAGGGAGATGAATTGGTGGGGAACATGGACTTTAAAAAACAAAACCAAACAATAAAATACACAGCTGAGGAAATGCCAAACTGTCTTCCAGAGTGGTTGTACCATTTTACTATCCCACCAACAGTGTATAAGAGTTCCTTTCTCATCCAATCATTTTCAACATTTATTACTTGCTGTCCTGTTAAACTTTGCCACTGCCACTGGGGTGAGATGTTTGATTTGCATCTCTCCTATTGCCAGTGATTTTAAGCATTTCTTCACCACTTGGTTGGCTATCTCTCTGGATGGGGTTTGGTTTTTCCTAATAGAGCCCCCACTTTTTTATTTGGAGATTTACTTTTTTGTACCTTCAGTGATGCACCTTCTATCATTTTTCCTGCCATAGCACACACTTGTCATTGGATCACACATTGCTTCACTTGGCACTGTTGGGGTTGTCTCCATAGAGGTGAACAGCTTTGTCTCATACTGTAACCAGAATGAGCCTTCTCTCATCACTATTTAGTAGCATAGTTAACAAAGCTTGAATATTTGCCTAGTTAGAGTTGTGCCAAGTAAAAATAGCAATTGTTAAATTTATCATTTTTAGTAGGATCCTCTTGATAAGAGAATACCAGAAAAATGTCTATTTGTTCTTTATTGATTATGCAAAGGCATTTTGACCATGTGGATAATAGAAAATTATTATTAACATTGATAAGAATGAGAATTCCAGAGTACTGAATTGTACTCATGCAAAACTTATACTTAAACCAAGAAAATGTTGTCTGAACAGAGCAAGGGAACATTGTATGGTTTAAAATAAGGAAAGGTGTGCATCAGAGTTGTATTCTCTCTCCATATCTATTTAATCTGTATGCTGAGAAAATCATTCAAGAAGCTGGATTCTATGAAGAGTACTGTAGCATCAGGATTGGAGGAAGACTCATCAACAACATGAATTATGCAAATGGTAAAACCTTGCTTACTGGAAGTGAGGAGGACTTGGTGCCCTTGCTGCAGAGGATTAAGGAGTGCAACTTTCAATATGGATTACATCTCAACATCAAGAGGGAAAAAAATCTCACCACTGGACCAACAGGCAACATCATGATAGATGGAGAAAGGATTGAAATTATCAACTATTTCATCTTACTTGGATCCACAATCCAAGTACCCCATTTGTAACCACTTAGTACCAGAAGTCAGGAGATCAGAAGATGTATTGCATTGGGAAATCTGCATTCAGAGACTTCTCCAAATTACTGAGGAGAAATGATGTTAGTTTGAAGACTAAAATATGCTTGATTCAGGCCACGGTCTTTTCTATCACTTGCTTGCGTCTGAGAATTGGACAATGAATAAGGATAACAGAAGAAGAATTGACGCCTTTGAACTGTGTTGTTGGAGAAGAGCACTGAATGTCCCATGAATACCAAAATAGCAATCAGATATGATTTGGAGAAAATGAAACCAAACTGCTTCAAAACTTTGTTCATATACTTGGAGCATCTTGTTAAGAGAAGCGTTTCCTTGGAAAGCAACATCATACTTGTAAAAGTAGAGGGTTTCCTTGCTGTTCTTTTTCAATTTGCTGGAGATATTCAGTTAGAGAGTCAATAGTCTGTTTTTCCTGTCTTTTGATGTGTTTGTTTATTGCTATAAATTGACCTCTGATTACTGCTTTGGCTGTTTCCCAGAGGTTTTGGCAAGTGGTGTTTTCATTGTCATTAGTTTCAAGAAATTCTTTAATTTCATTTTTTATTTCTTCTACTACCCAGTCATGTTCAAGCCAAAAAGTGGAAGGTTAGTGAAAAAGGAAAATCCTCAGTCAGTTAGATTGACACAGTGACTACAGCAATGAGCTCAGGTGTATCAGAGTTGATGAGGATGGCACAGGATAGGACAGGGTTCAGATCTGTTGTTTGTAGGGCCACCATGAGTTGTATTTGACTCTACGGCACTTAACAACAAGAGTAACTTAATAAGAAAGAATCTAATTCTTCTAGGTCAACAGATCCAAGGTGGGGAAGGAGTTTATGTGCCTGGTGATATCTGGTGGGTGGTCAGCCTGAGGAAGTATGTTTTGCTTAACCCCTGCCCATGTTCCAGGTAGCTTGCAGCCTAAAGATCTGCCATGCCAGGTGTGAAATGGAGAGACTACATCTGTTTTCTCCAGCTGTCATGTCATGTAAGGAGACACCATATCACCACTAGATGTTGCTGTTACCACAGGATTGGTGCCACTGTTTGGGCACTGGCCCTTTACATCGTCGTATCCTTCTCCAAGTTAAGATTGTAATCGTTACTGGGGAAGAGTTGGAGTTCCTCAGATTTTTGGTTGCCTTTGTTGAGTGATCAGGTTCTTTCCCTTTCTGCACTATTAGGTGGATTTCCTTTGTATTTGTGGCTTTGTTGTGTGGGATCATAAAAGCTCGTACAAAAGGAATCTCATAATTTTTCTGACCTTTGACATAATGATTCTAAGACAATGTAAAAATTTAAGGATCCATTTAAAGACGTTTTTCACCAAAACATAACTTACACATAGTCCAGGCTGTAGTATAGTAAAACAAAATCCTTTGCTTAGTCATAAACTAACATCTGTAGACAGGCCAGTAAGATAGAATTCTCCCTAACAGGTTTTTATCTAAAATGGAAACTTTTGCTCCCATCCTTGCTGTGAAGAACCCACCTTCCACCCTTACACTTAATCAGATCAGATACAGACCAATAAAGATGAAGGTACATCCAGGAAAAGAAGCTTCTGTTTTTGCCTGTGTCCAGTGGTTGTAACAAGAATATGCACAAGCATGCAAACAGAAAACAGACACTTTAGTGTAGCAGATGGTGTGAGAGCTTTCATGTCTGCTACAAATGTAGGATGGAACAGAGCTTGTGTCACTTGCTCCCAGGTGATTGACCACATAGGCACAGCCATGTGATTCCCAGTTCCTAGTTTGGTTAAACAGACAAAGGTTAAACAGACAAAGGTTTTACCACGTATGTGATTACTAGATAAAGTGCATGGATTTGCAAAGGCTTTGGGGGACCCCAAGAACTCACCCTTGAGAGATCAGTGCCTTTCAGATGTCTGAGGTTTACGATGCCCAGACTCCCTTATCAAGCCACCTCAGAGACCCACAGGAAGCAAAACCAAAAGATGCTTTTACCTACCAGGTGAGTCTGAGATCATCCCACCAGAGTCTCCAAATATTACTGGACAAACAAGTGGTCCTTCCCAAAGTTGCAAGGCAAGATAAAGGACTAAGAAGGAATTTTGCTTTTTCCATATACTTTGAGGATCCAGAAGACAGAGCTATGTTGCTGTCTTCCAGATCTGTGAATAAAGTATATGGACAAAGCAATTCTGTTTAAGGTCTATATCTGGCCTTGCAACTGTGGAAAGGATCCCTTGTTTGTCCAGTAACACATACTTTGGGCATGTTCTCAGAAGGCACCTCTCTCTCTCATTATGGTTGAGTCAGAATTGACTCACAGCTTTGAATAAGAACTCCCTTTGGTGGATTTCTCAAGCTGTAAATTGTATAGGAGGGATTGCCCATCTTTCTCCCTGTCAAGACACTGGCGGATTCACCAGACAGAAAAGCCTGGCATTTGGTTTAGCAGAGCAACTGCCCATAGATTATGCCACTATATCTACCTATAGTGGGAAAATAGTTCTATTTTTGGAATTTATTTATTTCTTGTATTTTGTACAATTATTTATCAATTTTTACCATTAACTTCTGCTTTTAATTTTTATAGTAATTACTATCATTACAAAACAATTACTGTCATTTCTAAAATGCCATTATTTTAAGGAATATTTTTAACAGTTCTTTTTATTGTGATTGGGTTTTCATTCAGCTGTTCTTACACATTTTGTTTTATAACATTAATTGTAATAAACACAAAATAATCACACTTTCCCCACTTCTTCCTTGTAATTTTGTTTTGTGTGGTTTTATTTTTATAATCCATCTCCTTTACTCTTCCTGGCTTCAAAGCTTCATCCTTGGGCAAATACTTCTCTCTTAATATTTTCATTTTTGTTGTTATGTACCATCGAGTCATCTGCTACTCATAGCGACCCTATGTACAATAGCCCTAAACCCTGCTCTACCCTTTGTCAACCCTATTGTCTCTGACATACCTACCCTCATTACCCTAGTTACTGAATCAATCCATTTAATCCAAAGTTTTCCTCTCTTGTGCTGTCCCTCCATCCTCTTAAGTATGATGTCCCTCTTTAAGGATTGGTAACTCCTTGCAACATGCCTAAGGTATGTCAGATGAAGCCTGAGAATCCTTGCCTCCAAGGACCAGCCTAGTTTCACCCTCCCCAAGACAAACACGTTTGTTCTGGCAGTCCATAGTATATTCAGTACTCCAGCACCACAGCTCAAAGGCATCACTTCTCCTTCTATCATTCCTAGTC